TCTCGAGATCTTGGGCGCACATGTGCCCGGTGTGAGTTTAAGCCACCAGGTCCAGGACTCGAACCGCGGTCGACTACGTGGGAGTCCAGCAACATAGCCATTACGCTAACTGCTGGTCCCGAGGCTCATTGAGTCTTAAGCTACGTTGCCACTGTAACAATAACAATCTTCTAAGATGTTCATCTGTATGTTGGTTTATTCATTTCTGTACTGCATTACCAAGGATACTGATGTAAATACGACAAGTAAGGTTTTTAGTCTTTTTGAGCTTACCATCTACTGAGGTAGGTAGGCATTTAACAGTTAGACCAAACTGGGAACCAGCAGTTAGCGTAATGACTATGTCGCTGGACTCCCACGTAGTCGACCGCGGTTCACTTCCCGGACCCAGTGGCTTAAAACTCACGCCGGGCACGTGTGCGTGTGTGCCCAATATCCCGAGGGGAGAATGGAGGAGAAGGGATTGCGGCGTGACCATCCCCCTGGGGGGTGATTTCTCACTTTCTGTCTCTATGTCTCTGTCTGTCTGGCGAGCGCACACGCCCTATAGCGAAAACGTCTCAAAAAAAAAAAAAAAACCAGACCAAACAGTTACATAAATAACAAGTGCAGATTATAACAAGTGTAATTAAGTCTAATGAGAGAATGGAGAGGAGACCAATTTAGGCTGGATGGTCAGAGAAAGCTTCTGATTGGTAATGCATTAGAAATTAGCCGGGCGGAAAGAAGAGGGTCCTGCTTCAGGTCATGGGAACAACATATATGCAGGCCAGAAAGTGCTCAGCTGTTGGAGGCCATTGTAAAGGGACCATGGGAGATGAGAGAGATGGTGGGCAGATCATAGAAGTCCTAGGACATAGTAAGCATGTGTTTTTGTTTTTGTTTTTGTTTTTGTTTTCCATTTTAGCAGTTTTTAATAAGCTGTATAAAAAATTATTTTACTTCTCCATCTTCTCAATTGTTTCTTCTTTATCTTTGCCCCATTCCTTTCCTACTTGGCACGACCTGGCTTTCCACTGAAGGATCTTTTTGCAGTCTTTGTCCAGTTTTAGTCTAGTGATAACCACCTTGCCGGGGTGGATGCCCACATGGACCGTCGTGCCGTTAGCCTTTTCCTGCTGCACCTGCTCAATGCAGATGACGTATTTCTGCCTGTAAACTTGGACCACTTTGCCAATTTGCTGACCTTTATAGTGTCCTCATACACCCTGAACTTGTCCTTTGGACTGGCATAGACCAAACATTGTACTTCTGCCTCAGCTCTTTGGAAAGGGCAGAAGACATCATCTTCCTGCGGATGTGGGAAGGTGCATTGAAATGCCTTTTACGGATTCTTGCTTCCATCAGAAGTCACAAAAGGATTGAATTTCACTTTGGCCACACTGCCCCTCCAGTGATGGCCGCAAAAGAAAAAAAGCTGGTTTTGTTTTTCAAAGTGGCTTTGTGAATAAAGCCAGTGAAGAGTTTTCAGTAGAAGAAAAGTGGAATTTGATTTGGGTGAAGATTTAATGCATATTAAGAGGAAAAGTTAGGCAAGAATGGAAGCAAATGAACAATTGGGTTTGGGAAAGTGATGACACATTTTGCATAGAAAAATTCTTCATGACTTTCCCAATGAACTAATATTTGTCTAATTCCCTGTGTGCTGTGATTTACCGATGAAAGGACATACTGAGGAGTGTACATTTCATAACAGTTTATTAGAATTTAGTATATTTATTAATCTTCACCACAGATCAGCTGCCTGTTTGATAGCCAGGCTAGCAAGATCCCAGGTACAAAAGAAGATGGCTGATTATTTAATCTTATCCTTTCTTCTGAATTCTTCCTGATACATGCAGCCTTCCCTACAGAGCACATAATCGTGACATGATCATGATATGGAACAGTGCCTAGCACTTAATAGATGATTAAGCTTTTAAAAAGAATTTCTGTTCTTTGAACTTAAGCTAATTCAAAGCCACCATAGGTCACTTTTAGTCCATTTTTCTCAGAACTGGCCAAATCCCATCACTCCTTTTATGTCTCCTCTTTGAAGCAGCTAGCATCTGTATACTATGTAATATAAATCCCATCCAGTCTTAAGCAGAGAGGTGGGACAGAGAACTGACAGAAGCCTGAGATTTCTTTCAGAAATAAGAGGTTTCTAATTCTGGCTTTGCAAATTTTGCATAAGTAGATTAGCTATAGAGCAAACATAAATACTGATTTGGTTTAAGAGATTAGAAAGAAATTTTTGAAAAAAGTGATAATTTTTTAAAAGGATTTAGAACTATCAATTCTTATCTATTAATACTTACAATAAGGAATCTCTGTAGTTTGATACATTACCTATTAAGGAAGTCATTTCATTTCTCCACAGACATCTTTAGTCATTATTTTCACTATTTGCGCCATCACATTATCTATGAAAAATAAAATTTAATTTCTACAGCTCCCTAATCTTCTGTTTTATGGACCACCTGGAACTGGAAAAACATCCACTATTTTGGCAGCAGCTAGAGAACTCTTTGGGTAAGTTGGAATCAGTCTCTCTCTCTCTCTTTTATTTATTTTTTTAAGACTCAACACCAAAAATTTCATTCTACCTTTATTTCCTCTAAAAGATTACATTTGGTTTCTTTGTGGGGTTGTTCAGTTTATTTTTATTTCTGATTTTTTTTTTTTTGAACTAGTGTTTTACCATTATTCATGAAGTGTGACTGGAAGCTCCTCACCAATAACTTCGGAGAAGTCAGTTGAATTAAATAAAAGTGAAGAAAAGGCTGGCTGATGTTTAAGAAAATTATGATAACCGGCAGTTACTGATTTCAGTTGGCAATATATAATGGTTTATTGCTCATTGTCCATGCCTACAGATACTTTATTCTGTATTTTTTAATTAAAAGACATTTGTACGTTTCTTTTGTTTTTGTTTTTAGATTTTTGCTATAGGATACATGTGCTCTCTTCTTGCCAGAAAAACAAAAGCAAGAAGTCACCCCCCTGGGGGATGGCCACACCACAGTCTCTCTGCCTCCATTCTCCTCTTGGGATCTTGAGCATGCACACATATGTGCCCAGTGTGAGTTTGAAGCTGCCAGGTGCAAGACTCAAACCACGATGGAATATGTGGGAGTCCAGTGACATAACCATTATACCATCTGCTGGTCCTGATTTGTACATTCTTGATATTGGGTGCCAGAGCCATGTACCAATTAAATCACTGACACTGCTATTCTGTTAAAATAAGGATTTTAGTATTTGCTATCACCAGATGAGAAGTTAAGAAGTAGCCTTTCTGGGGAGAGTAAGAATAATTGTGTACAAAGTAGAGAAATCCCTGATTATAGGACAACCTTTATGTAACAAGAATTTCCAAAATAGTGGTTCAACTGGATATGTGAGTTATTTTCTTTTGATTTTTGGGGTTTTCCTACAGTGAGTATTGCTTTTATTAAATTTTTTAAAACTCATTTTAAACTGTTCATGGTTTTATCCAGTAATTTTTCTTACAGCAAGCAACCCTAAGAAAACAATTTAAAATGTGCTCTATATTAACATTTAAAATGTAACGTATTTAGGGGACCAGCAGGTGGCATGGTGGTTAAGGCGCTGGACATTCCCACATGGCTGACCATGGTTTGAGTCCTGGATCTGACAGCTTGCCTTCTCACTTTCTCTTTCTCTGTGTCTCTCTCTCTGGTCAAATTAAAATAAAATAAATGAATAAATAAAATTTTTTTTAAAAATGTAACATATTTATTTTTTTCGAGAGGTTTTTGCTACAGGGCGCGTGTGCTTGCCAGACAGAGAGACAGAAAGCGAGAAATCACCCCCCAGGGGGGATGGCCATGCCACAATCCCTTCTCCTCCATTCTCCTCTTGGGATCTTGGGCATGCACACACACGTGCCCAGCGTGAGTTTAAGCCACTACGTGGGAGTTCACCGACATAGCCATTACGCTAACTGCTGGTCCCGAAAAATGTAATATATTTAAAACTATCTAAGGGCCAGCTGGTGGGATGATTAAGACTGCTGTCTCCCACATGGTGACTGTGTAGTTTGAGTCTCAGACCTGGTGGCTTGTGTGCCCAAAATCCTGAGAGGAGAATAGAGGAGAAGGGACTGTGGTGTGGCCATCCTCCCTGGGAGTGCTTTCTGATTTTCCCTTTCTGTCTGGAGAACACATACGCCCTTTATCAAATTGAAATTTTTTTAATAATTATTTATCTTATTTATTAATTCTTTTTTTTTTTTTTTTTTTTTTTTTTTTGAAGAGAGAGAGAAAGAAGGAGGAGGCAGAGAGAGAGAAAGTGAGAAGGCAAGCCACCAGATTCAGGACTTGAACCCTGGTCGGCCAGGTGGGAGTGTCCAGCACCTTAACCACCATGCCACCTGCTGGTCCCAAATTTAAAAATTATTAAAAGTAAAACCATCCAGAGACCAGCAGATGGTGTAATGATTATGTTGCTGGACTCCCACATAGTTGACCATAGTTTGAGTCCTGGACCCGGCAGCTTAAAAACACACTGGGCGCATGTGCTTGCATGCCCAAAATCCTGAGAGGAGAATATAGGGGACGAGATTGTGGCATGGCCATCTCCCCAGAGGGTGATTTCTCACTTTCCTCCTCTCTCTTTCTCTGTCTCTCTGGCAAGTGCATGCACCTTATAGCAAAAATCTCTCTCTAAAAAAAATTAAAAGCACTAGAAGAATATTAAGTAAATATTAAGTATAAGATGGTACATTTATAGGATGAACTTTGACAGAACCATTAATATGGAATTTATATTGGTTGTAATAACATAGCAAGATATTATACAATGCTAAGTGGAAAACTGATTTAAAACTTAAGTAATATCTATTTTTTTAATGTATGGGTAAAACTCAAACTTAACTCTGTGGCATAGAGTTACTTCAAAAGAAATATCAGGAGCAATCATGTACCTCCTATACATATTGTTTACTAGGTAGTTTTGGGGGCGGGGGTAGAGGTTTTGCCTTAGGGCACTTGTGCTCACTGGAGAGAGAGCTCTCTGAGAGAGACAGTGAGAGAGAAAGTGAGAAATCACCCCCATGGGGATGGCCACACCATAGACCCTTCTCCTCCATTCTTTTCCTGGGATCTCGGGCATGTACGCACACACACCTGGTATGAGTTTCAAGCCACTAGGTCTGGGACTTGAACTGTGGTCGGCCATGTGGGTCTAGCAACATAACTTCTATGTTACCTGCTGGCCCCAGGGTTTTTTGTTGTTGTTTTTAAAGAAAATCATTTATTGAGGCCAGCAGGTAGTGTGGTAGTTGAAGCACTGGACTCCCATGTGGCCAACTATGGTTCAAGTCCCAGACGTGGCAGCTTGCTCTCTCACTACCTACCCCCTTCAAATTAAAAAATAATAATAAATAATCTTAAAAATCATTATTATTTTTTAATTTGCTATAGGGCATGTGTGCTCACCAGAGATGGGGAAGTGAGTGAGAAACCACCAGGTCGAGGACTTGAACTGTGGTTAGCCATGTAAAAGTCCAGTGCCTTAACCGCCATGCCACCTACTGGTCCCAGCTAGGTAGATTTTTTTTTTTTTTTTGAGAGATTTTCACTGTAGGGCGTGTGCGCTCGCCAGACAGACAGAGAGAGACATAGAGACAGAAAGCGAGAAATCACCCCCCAGGGGGGATGGTCACGCCGCAATCCCTTCTCCTCCATTCTCCTCTCGGGATCTTGGGCACGCACGCACACGCGCCCGGCGTGAGTTTTAAGCCACCGGGTCCAACCGCGGTCGACTACGTGGGAGTCCAGCGACATAGCCATTACACTAACTGCTGGTTCCCCCAGCTAGGTAGATTTTTAAACTACTGCCATATGCAGATGTTAAAATGTGACTTTAATCTGGGTTACCTGTATGCTTTATGATAATTCATAGTTGTTTCATTTTGACGTAGGCCTGAACTTTTTCGATTAAGAGTTCTTGAGTTAAATGCATCTGATGAACGTGGAATACAAGTGGTTCGAGAGAAAGTGAAAAATTTTGCTCAATTAACTGTGTCAGGAAGTCGTTCAGAGTAAGTAAACCTGCCTTCCATATCCATAGCATGTTACTTTGTTTTAAATACATGTTTCTGCCAAATTTTCATTTTCAGTTAGATCATGTTTTATTCTAAGTTTAAGTCTAGAAGTGACTTTTCCATTATACTCATTTTAAATTGTTTTTAGCTGTCAGGAGTACTTACTGATGGATCTTGGGCACGCACGCACACGCGCCCGGCATGAGTTTTAAGCCACCGGGTCCGGGACGCGAACCGCGGTCGACTACGTGGGAGTCCAGCGACATAGCCATTACACTAACTGCTGGTTCCCCCAGCTAGGTAGATTTTTAAACTACTGCCATATGCAGATGTTAAAATGTGACTTTAATCTGGGTTACCTGTATGCTTTATGATAATTCATAGTTGTTTCATTTTGACGTAGGCCTGAACTTTTTCGATTAAGAGTTCTTGAGTTAAATGCATCTGATGAACGTGGAATACAAGTGGTTCGAGAGAAAGTGAAAAATTTTGCTCAATTAACTGTGTCAGGAAGTCGTTCAGAGTAAGTAAACCTGCCTTCCATATCCATAGCATGTTACTTTGTTTTAAATACATGTTTCTGCCAAATTTTCATTTTCAGTTAGATCATGTTATTCTAAGTTTAAGTCTAGAAGTGACTTTTCCATTATACTCATTTTAAATTGTTTTTAGCTGTCAGGAGTACTTACTGATATTTTGTCTAAAGAGTATTAATCAGATTTGATGGTTTGTAATATGCACTCATAATAAAAAACCCCAATTTTTCACATTTATTTTAAGAATACAACCTTACCTCCCCTTTCTGTCAAATATCTTAAACTTCAGTGTGTTTTTCACAGATAGGGTAACCATGTTAAGTTTTTGTCAAAATTGGGACACTTTGACTAAAAGGAGATATTAGAAGGAGACTGCCCTTCCTGAGGTAAACAGGGACTTAGTTTACTACTTACATTCTCGTATTGGCAGACTTGCCAGATGAAGTGTTTAGTACCGGAACATACATTTAAATATTATATCAGAGCATGAAGACTTGTGTAGGAAGTGAATGCAACATCATTAGCCATTAGGGAAATGAAAGTCAAAACCATGATGAGATACCACTTTATCATTACTAGGATGGCCATAATCAAAAAACAGAAAACGGGTATTTGCAATGATGTGGAGAAATTGTACATCCTGTACATTGCTCATTGGAATGTAAAATGGTACAGCCTCTTGGAAAAGTTTGGCAGTTCCTCTGAAAGTTCAGCAGAATAGCCATATGACCCAGCAGTTCCATTCCTAGGTGTAGTCCTAGAAATGAATGAATGCTCCAAAACATGAAAACAATCCAAAAGTCCAGCTGATTAATGGAGGAATAAAAGGTGGTATATTCATTTGCAATATTATGGCAATAAAAAGGCATGAAGCAATGACATATATTGTAACACAGACGAACTTCAAAAACATGCTAAGAGGACAGCCACAAAAGATCTTCACATATATCTTCACATTTATATGAAATGTCCCAAAATAGGCAAATTTATAGAAGACAAAAATAACTAATTGCCTAGAGGTAGAATTAAGGAAAAAGTGGAATGACTCACAACAGGCATAGGGCTTCTTTTGGGGATGAGAAAAATTTCTAAACTAGATTGCACAATTCTCTGAATATGCTGAAAAACATTGCATATTTAAATAGGCAAACTGTATAGTATTACAGCTCAACAGAGTTGTTCAAAGCAATGTCCATTGTGATGTTCAAGTCCTGTGTGTTTACTCATTCAGTGGGAAGGCATGTCCTCCTTTTAAGATTGTGATTCTGGATGAAGCAGATTCTATGACCTCGGCTGCTCAGGCAGCTTTAAGACGTACCATGGAGAAAGAGTCTAAAACCACCCGATTCTGTCTCATCTGTAACTATGTCAGTCGGTATGTATATTGTCCTGAAGATAGATGCTAAGCAGCCTTATTATTTATTTTTTAGGATTTTTTAAAAATTTTTATTTTATTATTTTAGCTAAGAGGCAAAGAAAAGAGGGATAGTGAGAAAGCAAGCCACCAGGTCTGGAAATTGATCACGGTCGGCCATGTGGGAGTCCAGCACCTTAATGACCATGCTACTTGCCAGCCCCGACAGCCTCATTTTAATAACTCCAATTAGTGAGAGAAAAAAATTTAAAATTCTCAAGGCTCTATATTCATTTCTCCTTCATCAAATCTTTACTTTTTCTTGATTTTTCTTAATCTCTTTAGAGGTTTTTAAAATTTTTTTGGAGAGGTTTTAGGGCATGTGCGCTTGCCAGAAAGACAGACAAAAAAATAAGAGATCACACACACCCCCGGGGGGGTGGGGATAGCCACACCGCAATCCCTTCTCCATTCTCCTCTTGGTCTTCGGCACGCACGCACACACACATGCCCAGTGTGAGTTTAAGCCACCGGCTCTGAGACTCAAACTGCAGTTGACCACATGGGAGTCCAGCAACATAGCCATTACACCAACTGCTGGTCCCTTTAAAGATTTTCTCTTAAGTCTGATGTGAGACAAGCACCCCAAATGGTATTTATGACACAGTCCCCTTTACTCAGCTGGCCTTGATCATGGGCATGCACGTACTTTGGGAAGTCTCAGGCAGCAAACCCAGGATCTTTCCATGTGGGTTGAGTTTTACCTTTATGCCACATCCTGGCCCCTCACTTTTTTTAATCTTTTCCAGAATAATTGAACCCCTGACCTCTAGATGTTCAAAATTCCGTTTCAAGCCTCTCTCTGATAAAATTCAACAGCAGCGATTACTAGACATTGCTGAGAAGGAAAATGTGAAAATTAGCAATGAGGTAAGTTGGTATTGTGATGACACTTACTTTGATGAATGCATGTGAAGAGGCCTGCAACAGTTAAATTGTGTTTTATCAGCCTAAATACCAGTTCTTCAGGCAGACTTAAACTGAGCAGCAGTTGGAATGTCTAGGAATGAAGTGATTTTGTCTAGAAATGAAGTGATTTTTTTTTTCTTTTGAAAAGTTTTCACTGTAAGACACATGCACTCACCAGAAAGACAGAGACAGACAGAAAGTGAAAAATCATCCCTCAGGGGGGATGGCCACGCTGCAATCCTTTCTCCTCCATTTTCCTCTTGGACTTTTGGGCACGCACGAACAGGCACCCAGCGTGAGTTTTAAGCCACCAGATCTGGGACTCGAACCACAGTTGACTCCATGGGAGTCCAGTGACATAGCCATTACGCCAACTGCTGGTCCCAATTTAGCTTTTCTACTATTGAGTTATACTATTTTATGATGTCAACATCTCAGAGATATATATATATTCTATATATTGCCAACAAATCTTTGCATAATGACCTGTCTTAACAAATTTAATCATTTGTGTTTTTTTCTTCATGTGATCAAGAAAGTATGGAATAGCTTTGCCTTTATAAATTTCTTTCAAAGGCAAGAGAATGCTCTATCCTTCCATTGGTATGATCTCCATAAATTCTGCCACTATAAAGATTAGCTTTTCCTCAGTGATTCTAGGCTAAAGTGATGTTTTTACTCGTTTTAATTAATTTGCCATCATAGGTTAAAAACAACTCTTTTCCTCTTCAGGGAATAGCTTATCTTGTTAAAGTGTCAGAAGGAGACTTAAGAAAAGCTATTACGTTTCTTCAAAGTGCTACTCGATTAACAGGTGGAAAAGAGGTCACAGACAAAGTGATCACAGACATTGCTGGGGTAAGAGTACTAGACATTATTATAAAATTCTTTAGTTGACTTCATGACTTTTCGATTTCAAAAATGCCATACTGTGTTAGGAAGCAGGGGAGTATCATTTTTGTGCCACAGGCACACACACTCACACCTAAGACACAGGAGTAAATTATATACAACAGTCCCCTCCATTTCTCCCTTCTTTGGGGATTTCAAGTGTGCATATGTATGTTCAGTGTTTTTCAAGCTACATGATCAAGGACTCAAACTATGCGATTGGGATCCAGCCACTTTTAACCACCAGGACACTGGCTGGCCTATACTGGTGCTTAAAACAGTTGATACACCAAACCTATTTGTTAAAGGGATATGTACGTATAAACAAAAACCTTACCAAAAGCACTCATTAAGAGCAGAGCAAAACTGTTTTAAGAATTAGGTCAGGTCAGCTAGTATTAAAATTTTCCATGCTGTGAGAAGAGACTTTCTAAACTAATTAGTGGCACCTTTTTGTGGAGAAAACTTAAGGAATCCTGTTAGAGCCACTTGTGGTACCCCAAGGGTTACAGAAAGGGAACAAAGCTCCAAGTAACCTAATATTAATACTAAACTAGAACATCTGTGTTGTCACTATCCTGTACCATACTGACCCTTTCCCACCATTTCAATTTGCTTTCCCAATGGCTTACACACCGTTAGACTGCTTCTCCAATACAAATTGCCAAAATATGGAATAGAAGGGTATAGAGGTAATGATTGTCAATGTTTCCATCCACAAAGTAACCCATTGACACCTGGTTTTTCTAGGTAATACCGACTGAGACAATTGATGGAATATTTGCAGCATGTCAAAGTGGTTCTTTTGACAAACTTGAAGCTGTGGTAAAGGTAAAGTTAACTTGTAGG